CTTCTAGTAACAAGTGCCTTACTAGTAGTAACAAGAAGCTACTAGGACCTTACTTAATGAAGGCACCTCGCACCTACTTGATTAATTATAAGGGTGAGGGCAACTATAGCCGCTGGTACCGGACGCAGTAGCTCACGCTATCATTTGGGTTCCTCGCTCTCGGAACCAGAAACCGGTGAAAGGCGATGGCCCTTCACCAAGAGGCCCGAAATAGGCAATGAGTGCGACAATTGGTTCGTCCAAGAGTTTCTTGGAAAATTGCCAAGTGGCCATATTAGCGATGGGCCTCCAAACTAGTAAGCGATGGCCTCCGCCCTAAGAGCTTCTTTGTTATATATTCTGGAAATACACAGAAAAGTGTTGCAAATGTTTGAACATCAAAAACGTTGGTTCTCAAATCTTGAGGACGCATTTGTGGGTCTTCGCCAAACCCTTGTGGAGATGGCCGCGAGACTTGCAGTGGAACAACTGTGAAAAACAAGATTGTGTCAATGTGTTGGAGGCCATTCCTATTAGGCTGGAGGCCATCGCTAGTAGGTTGGAGGTCATTGCTACTAGGGTGGGAGCAAGGACGCTACTAGGGGCTCCTGGCATTGCTACTAGGAGCAAAGATGCTACTAGGGTGGAGGCCATTGCAAAGCTTCGCCGATGGTTTGGTTTCGGCCGCTGAGGTGCATGACTCTTTGCAGCACAAACCTGAAGGGGTAGCTGACGAAGAGTTCAAAGCCCAGAGAAAGTCTTGGCAATTTGAGATAACTTAGTAGTAACAAGTGCCTCGCTAGTAGGAACAAGTGCCTTACTAGTAGTAACAAGAAGCTAGCTAGTAGAAACAAGTGCCTTACTAGTAGTAACAGGTGCCTTACTAGTAGTAACAAGAACGCTAGTAGAAACAAGTGCCTCGCTAGTAGGAACAAGTGCCTTACTCGTAGTAACAAGAAGCTAGTAGAAACAAGTGCCTTACTAGTAGTAACAGGTGTCTTACTAGTAGTAACAAGAAGCTAGTAGAAAGTGCCTTACTAGTAGTAACAGGTGCCTTACTAGTAGTAACAAGAAGCTAGTAGTAACAAGTGCCTCGCTAGTAGGAACAAGTGCCTTACTAGTAGTAACAAGAAGCTAGCTAGTAGAAACAAGTGCCTTACTAGTAGTAACAGGTGCCTTACTA